AAAGGAATTTGTCTCTTGCACCTTGAAGAACAGAGTCAGGGCATTTGCATCAGAAACAAAGTCGAAATGGTATTCCAAGCATTCTAAGGGCACAGCATGGGCAAAGGCACCCATGGGTGAAAATTCCCCAAGGGCAGGACCAGGGGAACCTGTGGTTTCATTGACCTTGGCTGAACCACCAGGATTTAGGGGAAGCGGGAGGGTGGAGGCGATGCCTGCCCTCTGCAAGGAGCTGCCTCCCTGTCTGTGGGCAGGGAGAAAGTCCTGGAATCCCGAAGAGGAAGTGCTAATGAGTGCCCTCACGGGAGCCTCTCCTGTCATTGAGGGGGGGAGCAGAAGTCATCCCAGGAAGCTGAGGGGGGCCAATGGGACAGCCTGGCTCAGGGCCAGGCCTTCAAGGCTCAACGATCTTCATGACTCCAATCAAAATGCCTTTGCCACCGCTGGGGAGACATCAGGGCCTCTGACTCGGGGGTCAGCACTTCCTGCCCGGCACCCCCTGAGCAAAGAGGCTTCTCTGGACCTCAAGCTCCGCCTTGGCCCCCTTCCCCTGGAAACTGGTGGTCACCAGGGTCCCAGAGCCAATAGGAGGTTCGAAGACGCCCCGGCAGTGAGTGCCCCGCTCAGGGCCAAAGAAATAATGACCTCTTGGGGTTTATGGGCATAGAGCTGGGCCCTGCTTGGCAAGGGAAGTGGACTAGCAAGCTGCAAACCCTGGAGGAGTTTATATTGCCAATCTGGGTCCCTCTACTCTTCCCCACCTCCTACCTCCCTCCTCTCCTTCATTTCCGCCCTCCCAGCCTTGGGTAGCTTTCTTTCCAATGAACTTGATACATCACGCTCATTCTCTTTCAGGGCATTTGCGTTTGCTGTTCCCCACCTGCAATGCCTGGCCTGCAGATCTAGCATGGCTGCTATCATTAGGCAGGCCTCAGCTCCAACACCGCCTCCAAAGGAAACTGCGCGTCCTCCCCAGCTGGACGCATAACCAGCCCCTGACCGCCTCGTGACCTTGTCTAGTTTTTAGACTGCTGGCCCAGAATCCTACCCCTATTATCTCCTAGCTTGGGAGCTAGTTACCCCACCTCTCTGTGCCTCCATTTCCTCGCCTATGAAGTGGGGATCCTTGCAGCGCTTACATCATCGTGCTGTTGGGAGGGGTAAATGAGAGGACACGGGGTCCAGCACGTAGTAGGGCTCCATAAAGAATAGCCACTATGACCCTCACCGTCTGTCCCCTCCAGCTCCCCTTGAGAGAAGGGACTGTGTCGGGTTGCCCAGGGCTGTATCCCCAGGGCCTGGAACAGTGCTCGGTACATAAAAGGCGCTCCGGAAATAGGTACTGATGTAACTGATCTGTTTCTTTCTCCTGGTGTTTTGCCCTTTTTCCTACACTGTCTTCCCAGTACAGCAGGCAAAGGGCCTCCTCAGACTGGAAGGGGAGGAAGAACGGAGCGGTGGTGAGGACAGAGACATCAGGGGCCCTGCAGAGGACAGCCGGAGTCCCGAGGGGGGACCTGCCAGAAGGACCCCAACCCTCAGTGTGTCCCCCAACTCAGCAGAATGGTTCTTGTGCCCTCCGGTATAACGCGGAAGCAGAGAGAGATGTCGGCCACAGCAGGGCCATCCAAAGCAAAAGGGACAACAGTGTCACAGAGGTGACCTGTGTGGACAGATGACTGGAAAACCCATGGGCCCACCCAAGCCTTAGCTCTAGATGATTTCATCTCCCACCCTAATTCAGACAAAACACATTGAGGAAAAAGTTCTATTTGTTGACCCCGTGGGTGGTCGCCTGGCAACGGACCTAGCGCCCAGTTAGAACAGTTACATTATTGTTGCTCACTGGCTGACCTTGGCGCCTCAGCTCTGGGGTCTTCGGTAAGGGGGAGGGAGTTTCACCGCTCTCCCAGGATGCTAGCACAGGTTTTAGTCATGATAAAAGGCTCCCCAGGACTTGCGGTGCCTCTCACTGAATCCTTTCAACGACTCTAAGAACGACTATGATCTCTGCTTTACAGTTAAAGGAAACGGAGGCACAAAGAGATGAGTAACCTGGTCTGAGGTTGAGTTAGCAGGTCTGACTGTACCCTGACCTGGTCTAACCCCAGGCGCACCCTGTCCTCCATGCAGACAGAGCAGACATGCAGAGAGCGTCCATGTGCCGGAAACCACAGATCTGGGTTGATAGGGGTGGGGGTGGGGGTGCCACTGGACACAGCCTGGCCCAGGGCCGCCTTCCCAGGGCTGCAGATCCTTAATGGAAAGAGAAGCCCCGCCCCCAGCCCACTTCAGCCATCCGTACGGCTGGTGTCAGGAGGCCTGGGTCAAGTGCCAGTTCTGTCTCTGGCTCTCAGAGTAACCTTGGCAAGTCCCTCGCCTCCCGGGACCTCTGTTTTGGCGTCTGGCCCCAGTACAGATGAACCAGGGCTCCGGCTAAGTGAGCAGATCACGCCTCAGCTGGGCTCTGTCGCGCCCTCTGGTGGACAAATTGGTGCATGACTCCAGCACCTCTGAGATCCGGTCCACTGACATCGCTCTCTATCGCATCACCCTGAATGCATGAAGGAGACATCCTCAAGTCTCATTTCCAGGCTCCAGGAGGAGGAGGAAGGTCTGGAGGAGATCTGGGTGGGTGGGGACAATTCTCTGGTTTTGCCCTTCACTTGCTGTGTGGCTTTGTGCTCACCTTCCTCTCTCTAGGCTGTTTCCCTGTCTCTAAGAAGGGAATCCTAGGGGCACCTGGGTGGTGTAGTCAGTTAGGTGTCCTGGTTTCGGCTCAGGTCATGATCTCACTGGTTTCTTGAGTCTGAGCCCCGCATCCCGCTCTGCAGTGGCAGTGCAGAGCCTGCTTTAGTTTTCTGTCTCCCTCTTCTCTGCCCCCCCTCCCCACCACTTGTGCTGTCTCTCTCTTAAAATGAATAAATAAATTAAAAAGAAAAAAAGGAATCCTGATCTGGGAGGCATAAGGTTTGCATGAGCCATGCACGCTTGGGCAACTCCCTGCCCTTCTCTGGCCCTTACTAGTTAATAGGACCAAACGGTCTCAGGACCCCTCTGGCTCTGACATTCAGAGGTCCAAGTGGAAACTATGTATTTAGGGAAATTTAAGAAGAGGCGCAAGGGGCCCCAAGGAGAACTGCCTTGAGGGAAGGACTGAGTCCGAATCATCTCCCAGGGCTAAAAGGAGTCCACCTGGCATTGAATATATATTCAGGTTTTTTTTTTTTTATTTGACATAGTTTTTGAGAAAATACTCAGTGCCAGACCCTGCACTAGTCACTGTCCCCACAGTAACGTACAACACAGACACACAGTCTTTGCCCTTGAGGAAGAACTTGCAGCCTAGCCGAGAGCACTGATTAGTAAGCAAACATTCACATTCTTGTCTGAACAAGTAACAAGAGGGATATAAACAAGTCTTAGCCACAGCACTGTTGGAAGGTAAGGCTTCAGAAGAGAGGTGATGTATGAGTAGGCTTTTGAAGAATGGACAGGAGTGTCACAGACCCTTCATTCCTGTGAGTTTAAACAGCTTTTTCTTGTCACATTGGCTTGTGCAAAGATACCGATCTTACTGCTAGTTTTGCCGTCTACAAGAAGGGGCTGCTCCACTGGGGGTCTGGGGCGAGAGCAGGCAACTACTGACCGTGAGGACTGGAGTGAGTTTCAGGCACAGCATAGGGTGCGGAGACGGCCTGAGGCCAAGAGTCAGAGATTTCACATTTCGATGCGGAGGAATGAAAATGGGCATGACAAATGGCTGTGTGGACACATGCCCTGCCCTTAAATTTGCCCTTGAAGCTCTTGGCTTCAAGTTTCTTCCTCTGCTCCAAGGCACAGACCAGCTCAAACTTTCCCAGGGCAAATGGCTTCACCCGAGTCTCTCCCGCCATGGAGTTTATCTTGTTGACCATGTTGATCATGCGGGATGCCTTTGGGTGGAGACAGGTCCCTGGTGCGCTAGAGCCATCTTAGCAATTCACACGAGGCAAAAGTTTCAATGGACTTAAACCAGTTGTTTGGACAGATGTTTGGAAGCATCACTTCTGCACATCTCTTCCCGAAGCTGCGTTTGGTGACACCACTTTGGCAACTTGAAACTGGCCAAGGCGGGATGATCTACTAACCTGAGTCGGTAAATGCTGCACATCAGGGCTTGGTGTGCGGTTTTGACTTTCTAAAGAAAATGATGGACAAAATGTTAATAGTAGCACGGACTACATGAAGCACTGAGACGTAGTCTAACTATAGTTCGTGTATCAGACTTAATGACAATAATTTATTGAGAAAAGACTTAGTGGACCGGAAGGGAGCCCCGCTGTAGATTTTGATGGAGTTGCAACCGTAGACTGACCAGAGACACGAGAGCTCCGCAACAATTAACAAAAGCATTCTGTGAAACGAATGGACTCTACGGAATTTACAGCCAAGAGTGCGTGCCCCGTGTTATTTGTAAGCTGTGCGCTACATCGTTTATATCCGTGAAACTTACAATAAACATACGAACGTGTGTAATGCATACGTTTGGGTTTCCGAAGAACCAGTTGTCAAACATTTGCCAGCACACCGCTGGACAAATCCAAATCCAAGTTTAACGAAGTCCTTTTCAGAGCGCGTTTCTTCTTGGGGAAGCCCTTTTCACTATGGGAACTAATTTCAGGACAAAGAGAGGACCTCATGCTTCCGTTGTGGACACTCCCCCGACCTTGGAAGCTCTGTGCCTTTGGAGTCTGTCATTTTCTTTTCTTTTAATTTTTTTAAATAGTTTTATTTTTGAGACAGAGAGAGACAGAACATGAGCAGGGGAGGAGCAGAGAGAGAGGGAGACACAGAATCTGAAACAGGCTCCAGGCTCAGCACAGAACCCGACACAGGGCTCGAACCCATGAACCGCGAGATCATGACCTGAGCTGAAGTCGGACGCTTAACCGACTGAGCCACCCAGGCGCCCCGGAGTCTGTCATTTTCAACAATGACAATAAAACCAACACACTCAGGGGCTTTATGATACTTTATTTACATTTTCCAACTCAAGAGCCTTAAATAAGGCCACTTGATGTCAAGTAACAGTAATTTCGTAACAGTACTATTCGCATTGAAACACAGCAGGAATTACCCTAAGTACGAATGTAAGGGAGGCAGGGCACGGAACTCTCCCCTGCAAACCTTCATCGCTCCCTCACCCTTCCCTTGCCTGCGCACAGCTTCCTGCTGCCTTCCTCTGGTGCAAACAGCAAGGAGGGTAAAGGCAGTTAACTTTATAGTCAACAAGTTCACCAGTTCAGGGACCAGCCCAAACCAGTTGTGCCAGTCCGTATCCCCCAACGGATCTGATTGGCCCGCTTGGATCAGGTAGGCATTCCTGGACCAATCAGCCGTGGCCAAGGGCGGGGTGGGGCGGAGTCACAGGAAAGCCGCCCTGGCCTCGAGGGTCAGCGCCACCGACTCCGAGGGGCACGTCTGGGGAGACGGAGGGTGGGGCCAGGGCTGGGCCGGCGCTCCGAAGGTCGTGTATCAAAGGAGGTCACCGGTGAAGCCAGGCGGACGCCCAGGACTCCCCGGCAGGGCCGATTTCCTTTCATTCCCGTCAGTGAGAGTCACGTGCACTGTCCATTATCAGATTCAGTCGCCCCTGAAATCGCCTTAGTTACATACTTGATAGTTTTCGTGTGTAAAGAGGTGAAAAAGGCCTGTGGCGCGCGCTCGGACATCTTTTAAATTTTGAGATCGTAGTAGATGACAGTCATCTCTGTTTCTGCGGACTGGTGACCATCCTGGGGCTCCCAGGGTTGCCGTGGGTCCCCGTCGAGGTAAAGCTGCATCATAATCATGCTGTTTCTTTACTTCACATTAGGCCCCGAGCACCGCCCTCCTCTCCCCAGGGTGGGCCGCGGCCACTGGGTCCACAGGGCCTGGAAGCAGCTGACAGAGCAGGCTCTCCCTGCGCATGGCCTGGGTTGGAATCCCAGCTTCCTTACTAGCTGTGAAAGGTCAGGCAAGTGACAACTTTTCTGTGCCTCAGTTTCCTCACCTGTAAAATTGAAATGAATAACTGCCTACCACATATGGTTGTAAGGACTGAATGAGTTTGCATTTATTTTTTTTTTTTAATATTAAATGTTTGTTTTTGAGAGAGACATAGAGTGTGAGCAGAAGAGGAGCAGAGAGAGAGAGGGAGACACAGAATCCAAAGCAGGCTCCAGGCTCCGAGCTGTCCGCACAGAGCCCCACACAGGGGGTCGAACCCACCAACCGTGAGCTCGTGACCTCAGTACCCACCAACCGTGAGCTCGTGACCTCAGTCTAAATCAGACGCTTAACTGAGGGAACCACCCAGGCACTGCAAGAACTGAATGAATTTGCATTTATAAACAGTGCCTAGCAAGTGGTAAATGTTCAAGGCTTTTTTTTTTTTTAATTTTTAACGTTTTTTAATTTTATTTTTGAGAGACAGAGACAGAGCGGGAGCAGGGGGAGGAGCGGAGAGAGAGAGGAGACACGGAATCCAAAGGAGGCTCCAGGCTCTGAGCCATCAGCACAGAGCCCAAGGCGGGGCTCAAACCCATGAACCGTGAGATCATGACCCGAGCTGAAGTCGGACACTTAACCAACTGAGCCCCCCAGGTGCCCCATTTCACCGTCTTAAAATTCCTAATAATTTTTTTAACAAGGGACCCATATTTTCACTTTGCAGTGGGCCCGCTGATTATCTAACCAGTCAAAGGTCTCAGGGGTGTGTGTGTATCTGTCTGGGTGTGCGTGTGAGGTCAGGTGCGGGTGAGTGAGTGTGTGTGTGTGTGTGTGTGTGTGTGTCATGCATGTGCTTGCACGTGTGTGTCTAGGATGAGTCTTCCTCTGGACCAGGGGACCAGGATGCTGGTCTCTGTGGGCATTACCTACCCCACCCCCACCCAAGACACAGGGAAAAGCCTTTGCCCTCAGTTCCTCCCTGCACCCCCCAGCCTAACCTCACGCCCCCACACCAGGACCCCTCCATCTCTGGAAATTCCCAATGCCCCATCCCACCCCTAGCCCTGCCCCTGTGGGAAGTTGGGAAAAGTCACAAAATCACCAGTCCTGGGGAGAGGGCCAGGAGAGGAGAGGAAGGGGCACCTGTCTGGCCGGGCTCACCCTGCACCATCACCTCCACCAGGTGGCCTCTCTGCCCTCCCGAACCCCGAGGGTCAGGTAGGGGTCGGTCTCCCCGCTTCCCAGACGAGGCTGTTCCCTGCACCTCCTAACTGGCGCTTCCTACGAGGAGAAGCTGAAACGGGTAGTCAGGAGTCCTGCTTCTGGTTCTGGCTCTGGACCCACCCCATCCTGGGACTTTGGACAACCGGCCGCCCTTCTTGGGCCTCAGTTTCCCCATCTGTAAACCAAAGAGGTTGTCTGTTGTGACCCCTAAGCTCTGTTCAGGACTTGCACCCAACTGGCTGTCAGTTACCCCCCTAGCCTGTGACAGCCCCTCCTGGCTCTGCGCAATGGGACCCTGGCCCTGGGCAAGCTCCAGACCCTCGCCCTGGTCTCTGACTCCAGACACAGTCTGACTCCTGGATCTGAGAATACCTGGTCCCCTTAGACCGATGGAGGAAATGTGGCCCTGACAGGGGACAACACTCACCAACCCAGCAGCAGAGCCCAGGCTCAAACTGAGTCTTCCCGCCAACCTCGCCCCAACCGCCAACCCCCTCCCCCACGCCTCCTGATGCTGTGCCCGCCATCACTGCCTCTGAACTACACGCAGGATTCCGTGCCTCTTAGGAAACATGGTACCCAGAGCACAGTCTCCACCAGCCCCCATCCTCCTCCGGCCACAAATGAGAGAGGGTCTGAGGGCGTCGATATCATGGCGTTCATCCCTCATTGTCCAGATGGGGAAACTGAGACCCGAATAGGCCCAGATCACTTCCCTGACCAGGAGCTTCCTGACCCCAAATCTTGTGGCTCCCCCTCATTTCTCATCTCCTCAGTATTCTACACTCTGCTAAGCACCCAGAGGCCCTGGCATCTGAGGACTCTCTCCAGGGCCCCTCCTTCCAGTCCTGGGACCTGAGGTGTCTTCGGGGGTGGGGGCTGGTGCCAGCTCCCGGGGACAGAAGGGCAACCTGGGGTGGGGTTCTGCCTGCTGTTTGTCACAGCTGCCTGGACACCCGTCTCCACCCCCCCTCCACCCCTACCTCCACCCCCAGGCTGCGGAAAGAGGGGGGCCAGCCAGGCCCACCGAGGCCCAGAGATCCGGCTGACACTCTTCACAAGCAGGAGCCAGACCCCTTCTTGGCTTCCACTGTACAGCCCCCTCTTACTTGTTTCATCTCCTTGACTTCCACCGAAAGGTTCTCTGGGGTAAGCATGGCTCACTTGCCCTCCCCTCACCCCCACCCCCACCCCTGTTTCACGTAGGCCTGGGGCTGGGGACTGAGTCTGGAGTTTTCTGTGGGGGGCTAGGTGGCACCTTGTGCAGGGGGCAGAGAAATGCATAAGGCACAGCGCCTGCCCTCAGCAAGCGCCCCCTCTGGGCCTGACTATGTGGAGAACCCGAAGCTAATTCTAAGACACCTAGCCGGTCACTTTAAGTTCCCCATCTTCCCTCAATCTTATCACTCTGCCTTTCCCCTGAAGGTGCCACATCCACCCCCCAACCCTTCTGGGCTCTTCTCCTCCCCCTCCCTCTCCCACATTAGTTCTCTTGTCGCACCCTGTTTTACAGTCAGCAGCCTGGGAAACTGGATCCCAGGCCAAATGAGAGAGAAGGTAGGACAGGCTCTGCCCGGGGGTGGGGGTGGGGGTGGGGGGCGGTCACACTATCATCTATGGTGACCCATCCCTCCCGGGTGTGGTTAGCCCTGCAGGTTCAACCCAATTTCAGAGATAGACAAACATCTTCTCCGGCATGTGGCACATAGGCTGGGCTAAGTGATCTCCAGCTTCTGGGTGGGAAGACCCAGGTCCAGAGAGGCAATGGTGGCTGGAGATCTGGGGTCACACAGCAGCTATGAGCCTGAGCCCTGCTTCAAGTGCCCTTAACTCAAAACTAACCGCCTCCTCCTGGTTCTTGGGGGTCTTCTGTCCTATGCGAGGGAGCTCTGGGCCGAGCAGCCTCTGACACTCCGGAGTCCAGGGGTCTCTTTTCTTTGGCTGCCTATTTTTTTTTAATTAAATAAAAAGTTTTATTTATCTTTTGAGAGAGAGAGAGAGCATAAGTAGGGGAGGGGCAGAGGGGGGAGGACAGAGGATCTGAAGTGGGCTCTGTGCTGACAGGCTGACAGCAGCGACCCGATATGGGGCTCGAATTCCTGAACTACAAGGTCATGGCCTAAGCCAAAGTCAGACGTTGGGTTCGCTATTCTTGAATTCCCTCCAAAATCCACCTTTCTTTTCCCGGAGTCCCCATGCCCTTCTCCCAGCATCCTCTGCCTCAGCTAAACCATTGGTTTAAGGGATGGGTTCTGGATAGTTCCGGTCCTGGTCATACGTCAGCCCCACCATGGGTACCCTGGCTCTGCCAGGGCGCTCAGGCGGAAACTGCCCCCAGAACATCCCCTTTTTGCAGAATCTAAGACAGCTCTGGACCTCGCTATGTGCCAGCCTCTACTCTAAGGCTTGGGGTGTTAGCTCACTGTACTTTGACGCAGTGACGGAGGTGCAGAGAGGGTACATCACCTGTCCACAAAGCTGGTGTGGTAAGGTGGGCCTTTGGCTCAGGAAACGCAATTTCAGAGAGAGACTTTTAACCACGGTGTCAGGGACCTTGAGTCCCCTGATGGCCACCGTCTCTGTTTTCCAGACTCACAGGCAGCCCAGAACAATGACCCCGTGTCCCAGTTTCGCTTGCAACTAGATGTGGCCATGTGCCTACGTTCTGGCCAAGAGGGAGGCCATAAATGCCTCTACCAAGTCATGCCTTTAATTAGGTGAGGTGTGCCCTCCCCGCTCCCCTGCCTGTTGCCTGCAGGTGTGGGTGAGAGCCTGGCAGCCCTCCATAGCCTCCTAACTGACCGGTGTCCAGTCCAGCCTCCACACAACAGCCAGAGAACTCTTACCGTGTTCTGAGTCAGATCATGATGCTCCCCCATCTGAGCCCTCGGTGGCTCCCCATGGCCTTTGGAAAAAAGGCCAGCCTCCCTGATGGTGCGCAAGGCCTTTTCCTGTCTGGGCCTAAACAATCTTCCTATCTTATAATTTGCCACTTCTTTTTTTTAATGTTTGCTTATTTTGAGAGAGAGAGAGTGCGTGTTTTTGCGCATGAGCCCGGGAGGGGCAGAGAGGGAGAGAGAGAGAGAATCCCAAGGGCCACTAGCACTGAGCCTGACACAGGGCTCAATCTCACGAACCGTGAGACTGTGACCTGAGATGCCCAACAAACTGAGCCACCCAGGCGCCCCTCATTTGCCATGCTTATCCTCTGCCCTCATCCCAGATCAATCTCTAGGAACATCTCATCTTTCCTTGACTGTGTGTTCTTCCTCTGCCTTCCCATTTTCTCACTCCATACCTGGAAAACTCCTATACATCCTTTAAGATCCAGTCCAAAGGGTCTGTCCGGTGTGAAGCCTGACTTTCCTGGCAGAGTGAGTGGCTTCCCACTCCTGGCCTTCCGCGCTCCGTGTGCGGTCTGCATGTGGGATAATGATGGCCTTTCTGTGCTGTAGACATCCACCTCTCCCCTCTCTCTATAAGGGTGGGAACCAAGTTCAGGCCATCTGTTGGTTGTCAGTACCCAGCACGGGTCCAGGCACCAAGCCAGTGGCCGTCAAGTTCAAGAATGTGTGTGTGTGTGTGTGTGTGTTTGTGTGCATGTCCTGAGCTGGCTGGAAGCCCAAGCCAAGGAGACAGGGAGGACATCTAGAAATAGCCACATCTCTGGGTCCAGACCAGACCTGGTCCCCCGAGAAACTGACCCAGAGTCAGGGGGTTGGGGGCCCAGGATGGGTGGGTGGAGACAAAGGGGTATGACTCAGGCAGGGTGTGGCCCTACGGCTCTCTGGGGGGCAGATGGGCCCTGCCTGACTGTTAGTGGGCAGTTCTGGCACTCAGACCTCGGTGACCCTCTGTGACCAGTGAGTATTTCAGGCGAGAGCTGAGCGTCACCTGCTTCCTTGGCCCAGTAGCTTGTAGGTCAAAGGGGAGCCTGCCAGCCTAGCCCCGGAGAAGGTGACAGGTTTGGAGCAGAGACACTGGAAAAGTTTGTCCTCTCCTGGTTCTGGCCCCGCCCCACCCTCTTCCCCACTTGGAAGTATCCTCCCTGAACCACCAGCTGCCAAAGCTTGAAGGATTGAAGGGTTCATCTGGCCCAGCCCCTGGCATGGCATTGGGGACGCTGAAAGGAAGAGACTGGCCCAAGGTCAGAGAGCAAATCAGGGCAAAGACAGTCACAGGGGAAGGCAGCGTGGAACAGTGGCAGGCCGTACGAGATCTCAGGCCAGGGTCCTGGGTCCAAATCCTGGCTCTCATCTGTAAACCGGGGCTGGGAACAAAAGTACCTACATCCCTGGGTTACTGGCAGACTCACAAGAGCTGCAAGGTTAAAAGCAGCTGAATCCAGTGCCCGCCCCTTCGTAAGCGCCACACGGCTGTCGGCAATCATTTTCCACACCCGCTTCACAGCACGGAAGGGTCCTCTGTCCCCCGCCATCTCATGTGCTCCCTCCTCCAACCCTGAAAGGTGGACATTACTATCCCCATCGCTCAGAAAAGGAAACAGCTGCAGAGAGATCAACTGGCCGAGCTCACACCGCTGGTACCACGTCTCCAAACTGCCAGTGGTCTTTCCGCCTCTTCCTCCTGGCCCCTGACAGCTCATACGGTGACACATCGAATGGAGAGAGTGACCGTGCACAAGCCAGTCCTCAGCTCCTGATGCCACCCTGGGCTGTTCTTACCCCTGCACTGAACAACCCCATTGCTCATCTGACATCACACTGCCGACCCTGGGCCCTTCCTCCTAATCTCTTCCTACTTCCCACCTCTAGGAGGGCAACTCTTTTACCCAAGTCCACCCAGTTCAAGTCCAAGTAGAAGGCTCCTTGAGTTTCCTATCTAGCGTCTGTGTTTACAACAGAGCCTGGAGATGCTGCCCCCCGGCCCCAACCCCAGCCAACCCCAAGATTCCAGGTCCCAGACTCCTGAGTCCAAGATCCATTCCCTGCCAGGGCTTGCCAAACAGCGGTCCTCACCTAAGGACACACAGGGGTCACCTGTTCACACCAGCTGGACTCGTCAGGTCTCCTGGAGCTGCGTGAATCTTTTCCAGAATCGTGAGCGAGCTTGTTCCTGAATGAAGTGTGCTCTAGGGAGTGATCATTGAATGTCTGTTTGCTGCCAGGTCACATGGGGTGAGAACCCGCCCCAGACCTTGGGGTGGCATGAGGTGCTGTTTTATAGGCATTTGGCTTCCCTTTCTTATTATGCTTTACTCAATCTAATATCATTTGTAGTGTTGCAGAGGCAAAATTTCCATTGGATAGAGGAGCAGTGTGGGGAAGGAGCCAGGGGCAGTTCCAAGTCTGGGATCTGGTTTGATTATTTCCTAGGACTGGAGCTGTTCCTAAAGAGAGCTACTGTGGGGGCGCCTAGCTGGTTCAGTCGGTAGCACAGGGAACTCTCGATCTTGGGGTCACGAGTTCAAGCCCCCACGTTGGGGATCGAGCCTAGTTACAAAAGAATAATAACAATACATTAAAAAAATAATAAAGATGGGGCGCCTGGGTGGCTCAGTCGGTTAAGCGGCTGACTTCGGCTCAGGTCATGATCTCGCGGTTCGTGGGTTCGGGCCCCGCGTCGGGCTCTGTGCTGACAGCTCAGAGCCTGGAGCCTGCTTCAGATTCTGTGTCTCCCTCTCTCTTTCTACTCCCCCAATTGTGCTCTGTCTCTCTCTCTCAAAAATAAACATTAACAGAATAAAATAAAATAATAAAGAGCTGCAGTTGAGATTCTGGCTATACTTGTGTGTTCCAAAGGGCAGTTCTCACCTGGGAGTACTTGGAGTCCCAGCACCCACAGGAAATGGCCCAGTCCCATGGCCCTCAGGGATGGAGTGAAAAGGAGGATACAAGACTTTGGCAGGAGACAAGGTGAAATAGGAAAGGGGTGGGGGGGGAGTGCAGGCAGAATTTTCAAACAGGGAACACTTCTCTTTGCTCTAGAGAGACTGCCCACATCACAGATCCATGCCAGGCCCTGTAGTAGGCTCTGTGGACGTGACGAGCCTGCTCCTGCAAGGCTTCTGGTGAAACAGGAGACCCACACTCTGAGTGGAGTGGACCACATAAAAGCAAGGTCAGGGCTTTTCTGAGGAAGAGGTGGCTTCCTGGAGGAGGGACAGCCACGCTGAAAAGTGAGCAGGAGTGACTAAGAGAGTAGCAGCTAGGGAGGAAGAGTACACGCAGGCAGACACAAAAGACATACGTGGCACCCCTTTGAGATGTATCAAGCAAGGGGAGTGGCTGGAGGGTTTGGAGAAGCAGGTGAAGGGGCCAGAGCCTGGGGCCTCCCTGGAAGGAGACTGAGAAGAGAAACAATGACTCTTTGTATTGCATTCCCAGCCTTATTGTCCCTTATCTCCCCAGAGTCCTCAGGAGGCGGGCTGGGTGGGATTGTGATGTGCTTTTCACAGATAAAGAAATACAGACCCAGAGGGATGGTGACTTGCCCAAGGTCACACAGCTGGTCTGTAAGTAAGCAGGATTGGAAGCCAAAGGAGTCTCACTCCAGAGCCCCCAAAACTAGAGAGGTAGAGAAGTTCACTAACTCACTCACTCACTCACTCGCTCACTCACTCAATCATTCATTCGATATTCATTCGTTTATGCCTACTATCTGCCAGGCACTATTCTTGGAAAAGGATTTCAGTAATCAACCTAACTAATGAAACAGATGGGGCCAGGAGGAAGAGTCTGGGCTTTATTCTGCTAACAGGGAGGACGGCTGGCTTCCGGGAAAGCCGAGGTGACCAGCTCACCACCCTGAGCTGCCCCCCCTCCTCTCTGGGCAGAGGGAGCCATTGTTCCCCTTCCAAGGAGCCTGGGCCACAGGCAGCGGTTTCTCAGAAGCGACCGGTGTTGAGGAAATCCCTATCTTTGGCCATCATTTGTTCTCTCAGACCCACAGTATCTAGAACTCTTGGGGAACGGGGAAGTGATTTCCTAGTGGCAGGAAGGACACTGCATTCCAGCCACTGCGCTGTAACGCGCCCCCCCCCCCCACCGCCGGCCCCAGCATCGTGAGTGCAGGGAGGGGGTGGGCCGTGTCTCTCCTGCTTCCCCTGGGATCCACTGAGCCCAGCACAGTGTCCGGGTGCCGGAGGTACTCAATTAAGACTAGTGAAATGCATGAATTATTTAGAAAGAAAGGGAGAGATATGGAGACTTGTCTGCAGTCTCTGAAGGGACTCAATGGCCTCAGTGAGGAGACAGATACACCTGGATCCTTTGCTGTCAGTTCAATGTCTCCAAGGGCCTTGGCTCGTTCATGTGCATCTCTGGGAAAAGTGCCCTGGGGAGGACCAGAAGGGTTCTCTCACTCATTGAGTATTTGTGTGTGTTCGGCTTCCATATGTTATCTCTTTTAATCTTCATGTCATCCCTGAGAGTAGATGGCCTTCCTCCATTTGGGAGGAAAGGAGACTCAGAAGGGGAAGGGACTGGCCCCTAGCCTCTTAACTAGTAAGTTGCAGGTTTGGGATTGAGAACCAGGCTTCTTTCCAAAGATGCCGCTTCTGAATACATCATGCACCAGGGGAAGCTATGTATGGAGGGTGTGGAGAGAAGGGTCACGAACTTGATTCCATGGCAGAGAGCCACATCACCATTACCATAAATAAAAATTCCCAGTTGCAGGTCCTGGGGGGTGGAGTGGGGTGGGGTGGGGGTAGTCAATATCCACAGACTTAGGCTCTGAAGGGGCTATGGGAGGGCGGGGGGGTTTCTATGACCCTGGGTCGGTAGAGGTTCCAGCTCAGCCCCTTTGGCCTCTAGCTCTGGCATTTGTCCCTGTGCCAGTAGCGCATCCCTTATTGGAGGCGCCCGGATGGCAGGGAGGGTCCAGGGAGCAGCTGAAGATGCCGAGTAGCTTCCTCTATCCTCCCCCCACCCCCCTGCCCCGCCCCATGGCCCCACAGATCATCCGGTGCAGCTGGCCCCTCTCATTGGCTCTTTCCTGGTTACTCAGCTCTCCTCTTCTCCATCTTCTCAGCCTGTGGTTGCCGTGGAGACACAGAACAATGACATCACTATAGGGCGAGGGCTGCGGAGATGCTGCTCTTGGCAGGGACTGGTCCTGCTGCCTGCCAGATGTTGCATCCACAGCTGGACCTGCCAAGGGCAAGAGGGAGGGGCAGGAAAAGGGGAAGGGCTCACATTCCCTCCCCTCGCCCCTCGCTCCCCAGATGCAGGGAGTATCACAGGGCAGGGGGGATGCAGGTAATCAGAGGGATGAGAAGCTGTACGTGTATTTGGGAGATGAAAACCCCGTGGAAAGTAGAGAGGCCGTGACTGAGCAGTCAATTGACTCAGGTCTGGGTGTGGCGGGGAGATGGGGGTACGGCAGCAGGGCTAATGGGCCCGGGCTTTGTTTCCACACTGCTCAGCATTGGCAGGGCCCGAGAGAGGGGACAAAAGAACTTTCTGGAGTGTTCTCCTCAACCCATCCCGAAAATCTCTGCAGCTCCTTCCTCACAGCTGCAGCAGGTTCTGATCCTGCTCAGAAATGAGAAGATGGGGGATTAGAGAA